TAAAACGTTCTCTGTGTTACATGCTATAATATTTATTTTATGCAAAATTCATATTATTTCAAAAACCAAACCTGCAACATGGGCCATATTTATATCATTTTAAAAACATCTAATTCACACTTGGGATATGAGCCATAAAGACACAAATTCTTAGGTAAAAATATTAATAAATATTCTCATGTGCTAAGATTCAGGGGGGAATCTAATACATTAAATATTATCTGATTTGAAGTGTTTATGGTATTTTTGTGGGAAATTCAGATTCAAAAGTTATTACTGAGATTAAAGAAATATATTCCAACAGAATGTGTTTAAATAATAAAGGTCAAAATCCAAACTTCCATCTTTATTAATGTATAGATTGACTAAACAGGCTTTCTGGACACATATTTAGGTCTTTACAACTGTACAGAAAAGGCTGGGAATGGTTGGCTTAGGGGCACAAATACGATAACACAATCTGTTCCTTTAATTTTTTAATTACTTAACCATTAATTTCAAGGCTGGGTAAAATTCCATTGCTTTAGAAATAAGGCATTTATTGAGACCAGCACATGGCTAATGGTTACATTGCTGGACTTCCTCATAGTCAACCACGGTCCAAGTTCCAGGTCCAGTGGCTTGAAACTCACACCGGGTGTGTGTGCATGTATGCCCAAAATCCTGAGATGAGAATCGAGGAGAAGGGATTGTAGTGTGGCCATCCTCCCCTTGGGGGTAATTTCTTACTTCCTATCTCTCTGTCTCTCCTGCAATCACATGTGCCCTATAGCAAAAATCTCTCTAAAAAAGAAAGAAAGAAAGAAAGAAAAACATTTACGTAAGCAGAATTACAAGAGGTGAACAAAGAATATTCAAGAAAGTTTATTGCATATGCATATATTTAAAAATCTACTCTGATTATCCTGACTCTTCTAATAGAACAAAGGGAATTTTTTATGCTATTTGTTTAATTTCATTCACTTGTAAATTTATTCTTCTTTATTCATACAGTAACTGCCAGGCATTCCTTGTATTCTAGGCTATAGCAATATAGATGAGAAGTTTAACCTCCACGGTAAGTATAGAAGTCCCACAGAAGAGGATCCCCATCTTGAAAATGAAAGCGTGCTTGTCAGAAATATCTAATCCCAGGAGAACAAATAGGAGCACCCCATTTAGCCCATCTTGTGTTACTATAAAAGAATATGTCAGATGGGGGTAATTTATAAAGAGCAGAAATTTGTATCTCATGGTTCTAGAGATTGTTAAGTCTAAGATCAAAGCATCAGTAAATTAAGTGTCTCATAGGGACTCAGTTTCTGATTCCAAAATGAATACAACATCATCCAAAGAAAAAAAAATACTATTCCTCACACGACAAGAGTGAGTATTCCCACAAGGCCTTTTTATTTATATAGTGGCATGACTTCATTCATTAGGGCAAAGTCCTCAAGACTAACCCCCCACCCCCCCCCCCCCACACTTTTTCCCCCCCCCGCCCCTTAGGCTCCACCTTCCAACACTGTTGCCTTAAAGTTTAAGTTTCTAGGTGAGTGTTGGAGGGAACAAAAACATTCGAACCATGGCAAATTCTCATGCTAAACCCAATTTCTTTATCTGTCCTGTAAGCTTCAATGCTTCACAGTAAATTTGGTGGGGTGTTGAAACAAGCAAAAGAACTGGAAATCTATGGTTTCAGAATTTCTGTCCTGGGACCCAAAGTCCTATAGTTTCATGAACTATTCCAATACCTCAAACAACTTAGAAATTAAACTACTAATTTTTGCTCTTGTTTGCTGTGTCCTGCTTGTTATATGTATGACTTTTACACCAGTCTGACCTAGAATGCAGCAGAAGATAACTCTTATGACAAGTCACGCAATCTCCAACACTGTTCATATGAATTACCCCAAACCTTTGCAAAGTCTGCTTCTTTTCTGCTTCACTTAAACTACTTTTGAGTGTTGGGCTTGTGTCCCCATTTTTCTGTGGGGAAGCTATGGTATAGCTTTGAGAAATTTAGCTCTGCTCTACCACCACACACCCACAAATTACTCCAAGAAAGAAGACATTCCAAAAGTTAAAAAGAAATGGGACCAGCAGTTAGCATAATGGCTATGTTGCTGGACTCCCACGTAGTCAACTGCGGTTCGAGTCCCAGACCCGGCAGCTTAAACTCACGCTGGGCGCATGTGCGTGTGTGCACAAGATCCCAAGAGGAGAATGGAGGAGAAGGGACTGTGGCATGGCCATCCCCTCTGGGGGTGATTTCTCGCTTTCTATCTCTCTGTCTCTCCCTGTCTTTCTGGCAAGCACATGAGCCCTATAGCAAAAACCTCTCCAAGAATAATAAAAAAAAAAAAGTTAAAAAGAAATTTATTTGTTATACAAACCTAGCATAAAGAAATCACCTGACCTCTTCCTCAAACCAGGATTCTGGCTTATAACAGATGCTACTCACAATATCCCTAACAAATCCACCCTTTGATTCTTGCTTAAAAAATAAAAAAATACACCAACAAAATACCTTGTTTTGTTTAGGTTTAGGGCAACAAAGTGCTCAGAGAAGAAGGACCATTTCCCCTTTTCCAAGGATTGAACCCTACGACTCCCACATCAGTGACTAACTTGGATGGTTTATATAAGTTCCAGTTCTGTTCAATGGCATCTGAGGAGAAGCTGGCTGGCAGCTTCTAGAAAATATTTTCTGGCTATGTTGCTGGACTCCCACGTAGTCAACTGCGGTTCGAGTCCCAGACCCGGCAGCTTAAACTCACGCTGGGCGCATGTGCGTGTGTGCACAAGATCCCAAGAGGAGAATGGAGGAGAAGGGACTGTGGCATGGCCATCCCCTCTGGGGGTGATTTCTCGCTTTCTATCTCTCTGTCTCTCCCTGTCTTTCTGGCAAGCACATGAGCCCTATAGCAAAAACCTCTCCAAGAATAATAAAAAAAAAAAAGTTAAAAAGAAATTTATTTGTTATACAAACCTAGCATAAAGAAATCACCTGACCTCTTCCTCAAACCAGGATTCTGGCTTATAACAGATGCTACTCACAATATCCCTAACAAATCCACCCTTTGATTCTTGCTTAAAAAATAAAAAAATACACCAACAAAATACCTTGTTTTGTTTAGGTTTAGGGCAACAAAGTGCTCAGAGAAGAAGGACCATTTCCCCTTTTCCAAGGATTGAACCCTACGACTCCCACATCAGTGACTAACTTGGATGGTTTATATAAGTTCCAGTTCTGTTCAATGGCATCTGAGGAGAAGCTGGCTGGCAGCTTCTAGAAAATATTTTCTCTATGATAAAGAGACAGATGCCTACTACAAACTTTCTTTCTGCCTATGAATGTTTTGGGAAACTTTGGGACCCCTTTAGACTCCTTTAGACAAGAACACGATACCATTTTCTTACCATGAGTAGCTAAACATGATGAAAAAGTCAACATGTTGAGTATGACAGAGTCAGAAATTAGAGGCCAAGATGGATAACACATACTGCACATTGCTGTCACACAAGCTTAAGTTCAATTTCTGACCTGCCCTAAAACAAACAAACAAACAAACAAACAAAAACCCAAGCTCAGTGGCATAAATCTATTGTCCAAGCTACTCGGGAGGCCGATACAAGTAGATAACAAACTCATGACCAGGGAGGCAATGCAGCAAGACCCTTGCTGAATAAACCAGCATGTCTCTAGTCCCAGATACTAGGAAGGCTGATGCAGAAGAATTCCAACATATGAGACTCTGTCTAAAATAACACCACACTATACACATACAGACATAGAAATTAAAAGGAGCCTGGATCCTACATAACATCATTATACATGGTATAATCCTGGAATTGCCTTATCAATGAATTTTTTAAATTTGAAATCCAAAATATCCTTTTGGTCTTATCATCTTCTATCCAGAAATTCTGGAATCTCTATTGTCTTCTTGCCCTTTGAACTGATACATACCTAGTTTCCTTATCTCAAACTTTGTTTTTTCCTAAAGAAATTAGCTCCAATTAACCAGTCTCACCTCCTACCTCATGTGGATACCTTTCCAATCAAATAGCACCCAACAAATACAGAGTTCAAGTTGATAGACAAGACCCTGACTTTGATTCAATGGGCCCATCTTGGTCATTTGAAAGAAGAAAGCAGATGAAGATATAATTCGTTATATGTACTTTTGATGGTAAATAAATGAAAATAAAAATTACTTATCACATGATTACTTTTGAAGCAGAGAGAAATAGTTTAACAGATGAAGTACATAGTTATTTTTTAAAATTGTGATAAGAGAATTTGAAAATTGGAGCCAGCAGGTGGTGTGGAGATTAAGGTGCTGGATCCCACATGACCAATTGCATAGTATAATATGATGACCCAGGGACTTAAAAATTACACTGGGCACATGTGTGCACCCCAAATCCTGAATGGAGACTGAAGGAGAAGGGATTATAGCATGGCCATCTGCTAAGTGGGTGATTTCTCACTTTCTCTTGTTCTATCTCTCTGGTGAGCACAGATACCCCATATGAAAACATTAAGAAAAAAAATTAAAAATCACTATCACAATTCAGATGGTTTTTTTGGGGGGGCGGTGGGGTCTATAAAAATATCTAGAAAACTGAGTCTCTGATCAACCCAAACCTTTAAAAAAGTAATATCATTTAATTCCAATTCTAGGTAGTTATTATATTTAAAAATTCCAACTCTAGGAAAAGCTTAAGGTTAAAAGTTATTTTACTGCCAAATATTAGGAACTATCTAAATAATAGTCAGTGAGAGACAATCTATTAAGATAATCTGTTATTCTATTTTAACAGCATGGAAAATGCTTATTTGTTATATAAGGAAACAAAATATGGATAAGACATATATAATGTAATTGTAAGAACTATGTTTTAACAATGTGTAGGCAAAAGACAAGATAAAAATATTACTAAAATGTGAAAATGGTTACCACAGTTGGTGTAGAAAAATTGGTAATTTTTACTTTTTCCTTTTTATTTTGCAGTACCTTCAAAATGCTCTAAAAGTTTACGAACTGCAAAGCCCCTACACTTGGTTGACTGGAATCTTTCTTTTAATCACAGCCTGGAACTGGACCAGGACTTGGCAAATGCCCCCAAATAAATAAGGCAGAATTAGTGTACAGAACAGCACATAAGATGAAAACTGAAAGTTTCAAACCAAATGACTGACACATTCCAAATTCCCAGATGTCTGTTGGACAGTAAACTAAATCACCAAATTTTTAATTGCTTAGTTTTGTTTTCAATTTGGATTTGGCTTTAAAGTAGCTGGGTGTTAAAACAACACAGTAGCTAAAATTTCTGAGAAAATGGAAAGGATACTCTGGCAGAGAAACTCAGATACTAGTTTACCAAGCACCTGTTGGAACACCACCTAAACTAGAGCAGCTCACTGCTTCCAAAGAAAGGTTCAGATTTTTAACAGAAGTATGTCTGGTTCAGTAGTTTACTCAATGCTTCTACTGGTCTAGAGAGAAGGAGAAGAATACTACCACTGACACAAGATAAAAGGATAGAGGGGTTCCATTAGGAACCTCTTATATGCCTGTAATCCTGTCTTCAAAGACTGAAAGTATCACTTAACCAGCAACAGGGACTAGGGTTTCCTAGAATAGGCACAGTTCCTCAGCCACCAACTAATCTCCCACTTGTCTGGTAAGTGCCAAGGTATTAACATTTAAATCACCAAGAAGAGAATTAGACCTCTCTGAGTTGTTTCTATCCCATTGAGGCTACTTCTAGTTACAGCTTCAAACTTCCCAAGGGGATGGAAAACCCATCTATTAGAATCAGAATCAGCTTACAAGGAAACAGCTGCAACATCCTGAAATAAGAATTAGATGAGTAGTCAGGAAGCCTCACTTCTAATTCTGGCTCTGCTGGGATCAACGCTGACCCTAAGCAATCCACGTAAACTCTCAAGTCCATAGATTTCTTATCTTTAAGAACTTGATGGACTGATCTTTGATCTTATTTCCTTACCTTTAATGTAACTTGGATATCTGCCACCCAGATGCCCACAGAATCCTGTCAACCTTTATCTTTAAATGTGGAAATTCTAGTGTGTGCTCCATCTTTTCTACAAGTTCTCTGAGAACCTATGTTCTCAGTCACCACTTGCTCTAATTACTTGCACCCATTAATTTTCCATCACCTCACTTATCTTAAATCCAGCTTTATTCTCTTCTCTCTATACCTTTTCACCCACAATGTGACATTTCCCTCTCTCTTTTTCTATTTTTACAGAGTTTTGCTATAGGGCACATGCACTCACAGAAAGACAGAGACAGAAAGCGAAAAATCACATTTCCTTTACTTTATTAACTACCGCTTCTATGTCTCTCCCTCCTTTCCCAAAACAAGGAAGATAAGGCTTGGAGAACTGACTAGAGACAGTATCCAAAGGAAAGCAGGCTTGAAAATCAAGATGTAGACTGAACAAGGCATCCAGCCTAACAAGGGATATTGGTCAGGGTGATGAAAATCAGGTTCAGTGATGTAATAAATGACCGAATATATACATAAATGCAGAAGAGACAAACCGTTAGGGAATAATTCCAAATAATGTATTGGAGTACTCTCTACCTCAGGAGGTAGAGTTTAATCTTCCCCACCTCCCTGAGTATAAATGATTGCAATGTCTTCTTTAGGAGAACATAGTATGGAAAGGGAGGAATTAAAAGAGAGAGAGAGAGAGAAAGAAAGAAAGAAAAAGTAACTTTCCAGTAGATAAACCTGATAACCATAACCACTACCTCTGTCAGGTGATCAAGGTCAACATCAACAGTGATGAGTCACATTGATAGTATCTGATATAGTCTGATCTTTTAAAAATGGTTCTTTACCCCTGTGATTTTCCTCCCCAAAACCTAGAACCCCAGGTCAATCATGAGAAAACATCAGAATTCAAACTGAGGAACATTTCATCAAATACTAGACTAACACTCCTCCCAAGTGTCAAGGTCACTCAAAACAAGGAGAGGTCAGAAACACAGAACCAAAAATAGCTTTTGAGCAGATACAATGACTAATGTAATGTAGTATCATCAATAAAGACAGTATTAAAAAAAAACTAGTAAAATCCAAAAAAGTGAGGAGTTTAGCTGATAGTAAAGTACCAGTGTTGGTGCTTAATTATGATAAATGAACTACAGGAATGAAAGATGTAAAGAACAGAAAACAATGTGAGGAGTATACAAAAATTCTCTGTATTCCAACTTTTCTGTCACTATGCTAACATCTAAAAGTTTATTAAAAAGTTAGCTTCAAAGCCAAGAGGCTGAATTTGGAGATGAATGAAGAAATGTCAAAGGAAAAATGAAAGATGGGCCCTGAAAGGTTATGGAAAGAAATTCCCAGACCTTTCAGAGGATGGAGGATTTACTCAGAAAAGAGGAGGTAGCTAGAAAGGCACAGTCACTGGCAAGCAGAAAACATTATTTACACAGGGTTTTGCAAAATGATTGTCTCCTTTTTTTAATTCAAAGTGTTATGAAGGAGCAATCCTAATGTCCAGACCACTGTATTTCCTATTTTGAAGCCTAGGACAAGCTATGGCCTCATAACCAAGCATTATTTTTTTTTCTTTAGTAATGCCTATAATAGCACATTGCCCTTGAAAAGATTTTGAAGAAAACTAGAAAGCTCTGAAAAAATATCTTGCTAAAACAAGGAGAAGTGACAGTGAATAACTGTCTTGAACAATACAAGATTAAGATTGAGCCTGAGGATAAAGTGACAGGAACAGTCTGGTGGGAATCTGGCTAAAATTATCTACTGTCTCAGAAAAAAAAAGCCAGGGCACAAATGTCACCTTTTCACGCAAGACATTGGCTTCAGGCTCTCTCCAAGTCACATTGACAGAGTTTTCTAACAACCCACTTTTCCTCCATTAAGCTCTACAACTCTCTCTAGACAACCATCTGGATACTGAGCTCACTACCCTGGCACAGGAGCTGTGTGAGGAGAAGCAGACCAGCTACGCCTGAGAAACATGAAAGGCCAGCTGCCTTTTCCTCCCTTCCATTATTAGTGGGTATGTCATGCTCAGTTCCAACAGGTGAAAGGGATGAAACCCATCTTTCCTTTCCTAGTTAATAAGCCACCAATCACCAGCCCAGATGTAACAAATACTCTTACTCCCTACTTCCCTAAACCTATCCTTATCACCAAACTATACTACTTTGAGGATTGAAACATTGCCTAGATATGCTCTCTTCTTACCAACTCTACTATTACACCTGGAATACACCTTGCCTGGACTTCTACATAACCTCATTTTCCCTTTGGAGCTTTCCTGTTTCTCTCTATAATTCTGCACTTGAAGTTCTTATTTATTATGCTTGAGATTCATTGACATTTTGGATTCAGAGAACTAGAGTTTTTCATCATTTCTGAAAAATCCCAGGTTTTTTCTTTAACCAAATCCCAACTATATTTTCAACTGTACTTGATCTTATTTTCTCTATAATCTCATGGAATTCCAACTGGATTTATAATGGGTCTTCTCACATTAGCTTTCATGTCTCTTAAGTTCTCTTTCATATTGTTCAACTCTTTGCTGAGTTCCATAAAAGTTTTTTGCTTAATCTTTCAGTTCATGAATATTCACTTCACTGTGTCTAATCTACTTTTCATAATGTCCATTAATTCTAGTGCTGATTATTACCTTCTGCACTTTTTAAGGTGTAGTTGGTCTTTTCCAAAGCTATCATATCACTGTTAATAGTTTCTTTCTAATTTTCTGTTTCTTTAAACTTAATATGTTGTAATTAAGTGATCTATATTTGATCACTCTAATATCTATAGTTCTGTGATAGTTTTTTTTCTAACTTCTCATATTGTTAGGATTGTGGACTCAGAGAATAATCATGTGAAATTTTAATTTTAAAGAATTATTTTATTTAACTTTATTTATTTATTTATTTTAATTTGACCAGAGAGGGACAGCATGAGAGAGACAGAGAGAGAGGGAAAGTGAGAAAGAAAGCCTCCAGGCCCGGGACTCAAACCATGGTCACCATGTGGGAGTCCAGCGCCCTTAATCACCATGCCACCCTGCTGGCCCCTCTCAGAATTCTTGAGGTTAGACTTTAAACTTCATTCTTCCTAGGAGGGTTGGTATATGTATTTTCTAGGGCCTTGGGAATCTAATTAATAATAAATTTTAGGCTTCAGAGTTTCAAGGCTTCTCCCATACTGTGAGTTTAGATTAAATATACACAAGTGTGGCTGATGGTCAGCAGTTCTCAGGGGAGATTTTAAAATTTTCTGCTGCATTCAAAGCCAAAGTCAATATAGATAGGTAAGTGTCCCTGCAGTCATGCTGGAAAGAAGGGCAAGTTTTTCCTGATTTATCTAATGATGTCCTTATCTCTTAGGACTCTGATTTTTTTGCATGAGTTGCAGATATGATTTCTTACTATACTTTGGCCTTATTCAAATCCAAACTACTGGCTGTCAAGGATGGTAGATAACACAGAATACTAGGACCAACTCTTGCTCCAGAGTTTGCTTAACCCTGTGAATCCATACATACTCTCTGACTTTGGAGGAATTCTATCTTTTTCCCTTAAGCTTAGGTACACATTAAAAATAATGAACTTTGGGGACTGGAGGTGATGTGGTGGTTAAGGGTGTTGGACACCTATGTGGCCGACCACTTGCTTCCTCACTCTCCCTCTCTCTCTCTCTCTCTTACTCTGTCCCTCTTATGGTCAAATTAAAATAAATGGCTACATATATAATGTTAAATAAATTCTTTAAAAAATTAGCTTTGTCTTGTTTTTGTTTCTGTATATAGTATTTTCAGGTATGATACACAGGACAAGTTTTCTATGAACTTCTAAGTCTTACACAGAACTAACTTCCAATAGCCTAACAGGTCCCTGATTCTACTATCAATTCATCCTCCACCTAGCAGCCAGAGATATCATTTATAAAATGCTCAACGAAAAGAAATAACATTGCAGAAGGCTATTTTCAGATTCCATTTTCCGATATCACCTTTCCTTTACAGGGAAAGCACCATGACTGAATATGCATCACACACATCAGTGACATGTATAACCTGTCAGACTTGGATTTT